TACTCAAAACCAGTTGTTACCAGTTTGGGGGTGAAACTTGATGCAGGACTTAAATTTGATGCTCACATCAATTCTGTGATCCGGTCCAGTTTCTTTCACCTGAGACGCCTTGCAAAAATCAAGCCCATGCTGTCGAGAGCCCACCTGGAGCGGGTACTCTATGCCTTTGTAATTTCTAGGCTTGACTACTGCAACTCTCTCTGTGCAGGGTTGTGTCAGTCATCACTGCGTCGCCTACAGGTTGTGCAGATCAGCGCAGCCAGGTTCCTGACTGGGACCAGGAAACGGGACCACATCAGTCCGGTTCTGGCCTCCCTGCACTGGCTTCCGGTTTGCTATCGCTCACAATTCAAAATACTCGTCTTTGTTTTTAATTTCTTCCAGGGTGCTGCTCCCCCCTATCTGGCCACTCTCCTGAACAAACATTCCCCATCACGCGCTCTGCGCTCCTCTGACCAAGGCCTGCTCGTTGTCCCTCGTTCTAGGTGTCGTACCCGTAGGGACCGGGCTTTCTCAGTCCTAGCACCATCACTCTGGAACCAGTTGCCACCCTCAGTTAGGCTGTCCCCATCTCTGCCAGTCTTTAAGAGTCACCTAAAAACACACCTCCTCTGCTTGGCGTTTCCAGAACATGTTTGATTTTGGCCCTCTTTTATGTTGAATTGATTTCACAGTTTTCATTGGTTCGCTCAATCCATTGTTTTACACATTTGTCCTGTACCAGAATGTTTCACCTATTTTGTAATTTGAATTGCTTTTATTGTTGATTTATTCAATATATTTACCTACAACTGAACCATGTTCAGCGCTTTGGGCTTCCTGACAGGGTTGCGGAAGGCGCTTTATAAATAAAGCTTTGATTGATTGATTGATTAAAGACACACTTGGCAGTTTTGCTTGCTTTTAGCACCCCCTAGTGTCCATTATTAATTCTCTGTGGTTAACTGAAAGCAAAACCTATCTCCTCATTGAGCGATCATTTTTTAACACCTTAGTCTAACTGATGAAACGTCTCCCAGACTTCTTTAGTGTACAGGAGATGCTCCTCACTAAGTTAAACAAATCAGCTGTGTTCATGATCTAAAACATGCCAGAAATGTGCTGGAACCAGACTGCAGCGCCAGCCAGGTATGTCGGCTCAATTGTTTTCTAAGTCCAAACAGATCGGCTCACCGGTCAGAGGATGCAAATGCGATTTTCAGGCCACAGAGGGTGGTGGGGTCATTTACCTTGTAAAGGGACATTTTAGCAGATATTGGCTCAAGAAAATGATTTAAAAATATGAAAAGTTGCAACATATAGCTTAAACAAATTTGAATTTAAAAGTGTCCACATCAACACTTCCTTATACACATTTACACCACTAACAGTTTCACAAAATTAAGATTCTAAGCAGAAATGCTAAGTGGAAGAGCTACAAGTAGCTCCTAAAATGAGATCAAAACATCTTGAAAGTGAAGCAGGCTAATAAAGACCCTGACCCTAGGGAAAGAGGGTCAGGATGATGGTTTGTGAACTTGGTGGTATTAATGATGCTCTTATTGCAGTTCATAAGCCTGTTGCATCACATTTTTCTGTCATAGGCCAATTTTACATCAAACATGTTGACTTGCCAGAGCAGAAACACAGGTGTATTAATGAGGGCTGCATTCCACTTCATGTGGTTGTTCCTGTAAACCTGCCACTGAACAGAACTATAAATTGGAATGCAACCAGTTCAAACACCCTAGTAGGCTGTTGTAAGTTAACCTGAAATACACCTGCTGAGAAATCTTACTGGATGGGAAGCAAAATATTTCCATGGAAGTAGAAAAGCCCAGATGCTGTTTTTCCAACCTAAAAGAAATACCACAACACGGATGACCTTACTGGCACTTAGCAAGCTCTGCTAATTCTAGCATCTTATAGTCCCATAATTATGTTAACAAAGTCAAGTATCAAACATTTGGGGGTGGGAATTGATGCGTTTTTATCAATATCAATGCTATTGTCGATTCTGTCTGTCAATTCCTTAAAAATTCCCAAGTAGTTCAATAGGTATCAAAACAATTCATTGCATATGGTCTCCTGAATTATAACTGTCAGTCATTAATGGTAATAATCAATTGTACCTGATGTCGTTTGGGTAGATCTTTCTAAATGCTCCTTGTCAATCAATCAATCAATCAAATTTTATTTCTAAAGCGCTTTTCAAACAAAGTGTGATTCAAAGTGCTTTACAAAATGACCCCAGATTCCCATAACAGGTTAAAAACATTTACAAACAAATGCAAGCACACGCACACGCACACGCACACACAGACTCACACACACACACAAGTAAAAATTATATTAGGCTGAGTCCAGATGTGCCAAGTATGGTAACGCAAGGAAACGCCATCAGAGGAGCCGTCTGCCCCGGCAGCATCAGGTCTGTGAAGGGAAGTGAAGGGAGTCGTCTTCTTGGATGGTGTAGCGTTGTTGTAGCTTTTGCAAAATCTCACCACAGGTCGGACTTTAGTCGCTGGAGTCTGCTAGTGTGGAGGTGTGTGCGTAAGGCAAATGACGATAACATGAAAGGCAGTGTTAGTTGATTAGTTACCTGCGGTATTAACAGAAGAGGATGTACAAACATCACCACTGCTGCAGCTGCTTTGAAAATCACTAGTCAGGAGCAGGTCAAAACCATGACTTTCACTCTAAGTCATTGTGTATTCTGTGCACAAATGCTTTTGTATGTTTGTAGTGTTTCCTCCCTTTGATGCAATATCTAATTTACAAGTATTGCAAGTTGCCCTGTTGGCGCTTAGGCACCATGTTCCCTGCTGGGGAAATGCATAAGCTATGCAACATGCATGATGTCATTCGAGCCAAACTGATGAGGGAATTATTTGCAAAAATGTCAAATGATTCCTGTGAGGAACCAATGAGGAACCAGTTCTCAGCAAGAACAGGTTTTTGATTCCAACCCCTAGTTACCTTTAGGTAAGTAGAAATTTCACATCAGTAATTATCTATTAGCCGACCTTTTACCTCTATACCTTACATTTTAAAAATAGCCTTGTTACTCCTATTTTATTTAGGGAAAAAAGACAACAAATCGTAACCAGATAAATCGTACCATCTGGATAGAGTGTATTGGATTGCTGTTGGAACATTTTGAAATCTAATTCAGACACCTGGTTTGTAGCATCCACAGATGGCTCTCACACTAAAATGCATGCATTTCCAATGGGCTTAAATGTAACTGAAGCAGACTAGCTGATCTCAAATCAGTCAACAGTAACATTTCCACACACCGCCTGGTCAGAAAAGATTTGCCACCAAATATAAGGTCACACTCTAATATGTTGTTGAACCACCTTTAGCTTTGATTGCGACACACATTCGCTGTGGTGTTGTTTTGATACACTTTTGCAACGTCACAAGATTTATTTCCACCCAGTGTTGCATTAACACCTCTGTCAGTGCGCCCCACGGCAGCTGTGGCTACATCGTAGCTCATCACCATCAGTGTGTGAATGGATGAATGATATACTGTAGTGTAAAGTACTTTGGAGTCCTTACTCTGAGAGGCGCTATACAAGTGCGGGTCATTTATCATTTAATGTGTCACCAAGATCTTGCATTGATGATGGTAGAGTCTGACCGCTGCACAAAGCATTCTCCAGCACATCCCAAAGACTCTCAATGGGGTTTTGGTCCGGACTCGATGGTAGCTGATGCTCCCTGAACCACTCTTTCACTATTAGAGCCTGATGAATCCTGGCATTGCCATCTTGGAATACGTCTGTGTCATCAAGGAAGATGGAATAACATGGTCATTCAGTATATTCAGGTAGTCAGCTGACCTCATTCTTGGAGCACATCCTGCTGCTGAGCCTAGACCTGACCAACTGCAGCAAGCCCAGATCATCGCACTGCCCCCACAGGCTTGTACAGTAGGCTCTAGGCATGATGGATGCATCACTTCATCTGCCTCTCTTCTTACCCTGATGCACCATCACTCTGGAACAGGGTCCATCTGGACTCATCAGATCAGTTTTTAATAATGCGTTGGACAGTTCTTAACCCAGTTTTAGTCGTTTCTGCATCTGCTTAGATGTTTTATCCGCTTGATGCATGCCAATGATCTGACCCTTCTCAAACAGACATCTTTTCTGCAACCACCAAATGTGTCTTTCCACATGGTTGTTTAAGAAATGAGAAGCAGCTCAGTGCACCAGTTGGAGTTAAATAACTTGTTGCAGCTGAAAGATAATCACCCATGTGGGAATTATCCAATAGGAAGCTCCTACCTTTTCACTTTTTTTTTTTTGGCCAGGCAGTGTAGAACATTAGTCATTCTGGCCTTTAGTAAAATGTATTTTGGGAAGGTGTCGTGGTGCTGGGGCATGGGCATTTTTTAAAACTTACATTACTTTTACCTTTAACTCAGCTCTTAATGGAGTAAAAAGTTTGAATAGATATTCTGACTTCTATATAAGTCTTTATTCTACCAGAGCGATGGATGTGAATGTTTTTGCCACCTCTGCTAATAACCATGTGGTACAAACTCATAGCTCTGCAACGCTTATAAATCAGTATCCACATGAACCACTATTCCATTTTGGAGATTGGAATAGTTTTAATAACGCAAAAATCCACTTTTTAGACAACTGGCTTAATTCAGTCAGACTTCATCTCTGAATCTCCAAACGGGTTGAGTTGTTTACAACAGGCAAAACGTCAAATGTTACAGTGAAACGTCCAGAAAAACGGATTTTGTGTTATCTTGAAGATGTTTTGCTTCTCATCCGATGACTTTTCTCTAAAAGAAAATAAAGAGCACATCTTGCTCTGGAGGTCAGAAGACCGTCATCAACTAAGTTGCACCGAATCGCTGCAGCTGATGTGCCTGATCAGATCTTTACTTTATCAACAGAGCTGCTCCTATAGTTTGTTTGTTTGCCTGAACAGAATGACATGCTGTCATGTAATGCAGGTGGAAACTGGGCGGCAATAAACACAAATCTACTCTCTTCAGAAAGCAGCATTCAAAATCTTATTTTAATTTGTATATTTACTCCATAAACATTATTACAAAACTCAGCAAGTTACCAATATTACATTATCACCGTACAGGCTTGATCACAAATATTTAAAACCTTTGCAACAATTACAACAAAACAAAAAAGAAAAGAAAAACAAAGAAACAAAATAATACTCAAATAATTTACATGAAAATCTATAAAACAGCAAATTGTTCACAAATTATATTTTTTTCCAACTTTTCTCTTTTTTTCTTTGCTTCTTTGTGTTTTGCACAGTAACACAACACTCTCACAACAAGATCATGATCTTATTACAAAAACTCCCAACAAAATGTAAATATTTCTAGTTTTCTGTTGATAACTTTTATATTTTGGTTTTTAAAACCAGAAACGTGTCATTGTATGTCCTTTCCACTGCCCACAGAGGCGCATAAAAGGTTACTCACACACACAAATACTTCACAGCACTTTCTAAGAAAAATATACACTTACAAAATATGTTACAAATTGGCACACAAAAAATATACAAGATTTTGTCGTGTCAAGAGTTCATTAAGATTCCTTCTGGTAACAACTCTAGACAGTATATATAAAGCTCGGTAATCTTTTAATGAAAAGAGCAAAAGTAATTCCAATCAGTGTCAAAGAATCATGAAGTGAATACATCAAACATAACATTTTTAATATACATTCATAAAGAGGGTTAGGAACCTAATCTGTTTTGCATTTCTTTTTTCTCTTTTTTGTTAACTCTGGGAAAAGAAAAATAAATCAAAACCAAACAGTTAAGAATCGTCAGCTTTCTTAGCACCATTAACATGAGGCAGCTCAACAGTGGCACGTTTTAGAAACAAACAAACAGAAAAAGAAATTCAAAGAAAAATATGAACTCAGAAGTACATTCAATTTGGCAATAGGCAGAAATGAGAGAAGGCAGACTAAACGGGCTCCGAGGCCCATGTGGAGCTTCCCATCAGCAGCTTGTCTTGGTCCTAACCCTGATACACGTATAGAAAGTAAAAGAAAGGATCATGGCAGAGGAGACACAAATGGGTCACAGAGACATTGATTAGGATTCTTGCCAGATGCAAGCAATCAGTTACTATAACCTGTATGTCAGAAGTGCCATATCCAACGTGACACGGCCTGTTTTCAAACCAATCAATTCTTCTGCGCATGTCCATGCAGCATATTCTAAATTAAAGTAGTGTTCCGAAAACCGCATAAAATAAAAGCTTTTTTTCTGTAACAGTTTGATTGGCTCTGTATTTCTTCTGAAACTAACTTTCATCCTATCTATAGATTTTCTCAGCTGATTGAATATGATTGTATAGTTCATTTTAAGGTTGATTTCTGGTGTTTTTTCAGTGCTTTGAGGTAGTGAATGAGCCCAAATAAACGAGAAGGGGTCAAGAACAAAACTTGTTGGATCAGACAGTAGCGACTTCTCTTTTTGTGGTCTTGAATCACAGCTCACATTGTTTTCAGAGTACTGGCGCTGAAATAACAGGTACAAACCTCATGCAAATGAAAACAAATCCATTGTAAACAGTAAGGAAAAAATTTCAGGATGATATGTGGTAATAATATAACAAGAAAGATGTGAAACTTAAAAAGTAAGGCAGTGGTAATTAAAAATACATGGGAATGTGAAGAAATGTTTAAATGGCCATTTCCTGGTGAGACGGCAGAAACGTTTTCACATGGAGCGAATGTAAAGACATGCTTTCCTTCATTTACAAGACTACTGATTCCATTTGTACTGAAGACTGCTTTCACATTCACAATATAACCTAACTGCAAAAATGTCTATTCACCACTGATGCATGCATCAGAATCTCTATGAGTCATAATCTGCCGTAAACTTCCAGTACAAACGTCTATTCAGTGAGGCGCAGCCCCACATGACCAGTCGTTCCCTTGCTTACCCCTCAGACATGTGCACTACACTCCTCTCGGTCCTGAGAGGGCTCGTCTGAACCTCTCTCTTTTCATCTCCATCCTTTACAGTGGCCTTCAGAGCAGATCTCTCCTTTGCCTCTCTTTTGTTGCTTCTCAGTGCCAAGCAATGTTGAGGTAAATAGAATTTGGCAAACAAGGTGTGTTGGTGGTGGTAGTGGGGGTGGGGACGAGGAGAATTCAGCCTTTCTGATTTGGTTTCATGAGTGGTGGTGTACCACTGCCAGCTGTTGGTGCCTTTCATCAGAGAAGAGAGAGAAAAGTCTCAAATAAAGAATTCCTGTAGTTGCAAGTCTCTGTAAGGAGTCTCCCAACCCGAGCAGCCAATATTCCAATGGATAGAAAAAGAGGAACAGCCAATATTCACACATATATAAGAGGTCATTTACACAGCATTGTTACTTTTGGCACATTGATTTTAAAATTATAATAATCTTTTTTTTCTTTCTTTTTTGTTGCAAATATTGCATGTCCCTGTACAACGACGTTGACAAAAATACTCTGAGGGTGGAGCTTTTTATGAATTTGCAAGGCATAAAAATGTAAATTTAGATAACAAGTTCATTTAAACTCCAGAACTAAAAGAAAAGCTCAGTAAAAGGAAACGGGGAGTCATTTCGACTTGGAGGGAGGACAAAAAAAAAAAAAAAGACAACGTCTGATATGTCAACAATACAAAATGGTCCCATCTTTGTGTTTAAAGATGTCTTGGGCTTAAATAGGGCTCATTAAGTGTAGGCTTCCCTCTTGAAATGAGCCAGGCAGTGTATGAAGGACAGCAACAACAGGACATCCATATTCTGCATACAAAAACAGATGAGGAGGGGGATGGGATGCGTAGATGTCACTCAATGCATTTGTGTATATAGCTACATCTTTAAGGGAAAAGAGCGAAATCAATCTTAGAATCGAGGGGAGCTAGTTCAGCTGGGAAGATACAAAAAAAAAGTTCCTCAAAAAGGCGACAGAGCTGTTTTCAAGGCTTATTCTCTTTTTTCAGACAAAAGTAAAACAACTATAAGAACAAAGCAAGAAACAACAAAAGCAAGAAAAAATGCAGCCATGGTCATTTCAAATCTCAATCAAGCTTAACACAATCACTCAATAGGTAGTTTGCAAAGTACAAGAAGTTTTTCATGCAGATAATCATTTCCTCTTCGGGGGGAGGGAGGGATCAAAAGGAAGCGGGAGTAGTCAGGGGAAACGTAGAACTCATGCAGCTCTGGCATAGCGTCAGTGTAGGTATGTTTGGGAGGGAGGGCTGAGCAGGTGGTGGAGGGGAAAGTGAGAAGGGGGAACAACAGCAGCTGATAACAAAATATTACCTCAGTTTCTCAAAAGAGGTCATCAGTGCTATGTCCTTATTTGGGTCTCTCTCAGCTCGCTTCCCCTTCAGTGTCTCAATCCGAGGGAACTTAGCACTCGTCTTGTGGCGGTACAGCTTTTTGTGTGCAGGCCCAGGGTTAATAAAGCTGGGTTTATCAAACATGTTGCAGCCCAAAGCGAGTTGAGGGAACAAGGGATGCGAGGGGTTGAATTTGGCTGGGTTTTTGCCTCCTTTCCCCCCGGCCTTTCTGCCTCTGCCAGCCCCCGTTAGCACAGTGCCCTTTTTCTTCAGATCAGCCTCCGTTCCTGCCAAGATTTTGAGCGTCTTTAGGTTAAGGCTGTTGGCCTCGGAGGGCATGCAGGCCTCAGACATGGGATTCCACAGTGGCTCTATGGAGGCCATCATGAACCTTTGGACCTCGGCCATGCCGGAGACAATGTTGGACAGGATATTTGAGGGCTCTTCAAACTCTCTCTGGTCATCCCCGACCAGGCTGTTGCTCTCTGACCAGCCAGTGCCAGGCCAGTCCCCAGTGCTGCTACTGTCGGTCAGGCCTGTGCCGATGCCACCTGCCTGGTTCTTTGCTGCCTTGCCCTCCAACATGGCCTTTATTTTTTTGGTCGACCGAGAGTTCTGTTTGGGAGTCTTGACCTTTTCGGACTTGGGAGCTCTGGGAGCTCTGACTTTCTTTGGGCTCTGTCCTGCCGCTGCTTGCTTGCAGCTGCCTTTCCTCTTTGACTTTATGCTTTTTGCACCAGCCAGCATCTCACCAGTCTGCTCGTCAAACTCTGTAACTCCCAGCTCCTTCTTATCTATAGTTAGGACATCCTGACTGTTGAAGTTGTGCAGCTGTGGAAATTGGCCGTCCTCCACTGTGTATGTGTTTGCTGTACACTCTTGTTGCTGTATAGCATCACAGTTCCACTTTACCTCCCGGTTGCAGTCTATAGGCATATCATTCACATCCTGGTACTCTCCTACATTTCCTGCCATCTTCATTTCACGCCCCACCACCTGGGGGGACAGGTTGGGGGTCTCTGGGGGGGAAAGCTCTGACAGTGATGAGTGTCTGAACTTGTCAGGAGTGAAGTTGGAGATATCCAGCAGGTCTGAGGACTCCCTGAGTGGGGTAAGGGCATCCACACTTTGCTGAATCACCACTTTAGGACTGCAGTGAGCTAAGAAGCTGTCTCGGCCCTCCTCCTCACCCTCCCGCTCACAAGACTTGAGGCTGAGAGAGCTGTAATTGCTGGAGGAAGCTGACAGGGAGCCCACTGAGTCATAGCTGATGAGCCTCCCATTGTCTGTGCACAGGGACCCTCTTTGGTATTGCACCTGGCCCTCCACGCAGGCAGACTGACAGACTTGTAGATCTGCCCCAGGCTGCAGCCCCGCCTCAGTCAGGTAGCTCTTCTCATAAAGCAGCCTGTCAGCCTCGGGGCTCAGCTGGCTGTAGTTAGACACCGGCAGGTTGTCATTCAGGGGCACAGCAGCGGGGAAGTTGTTGGGTATGATAGGAGTCTCGGGGGTTTCAGGCCCAAAGCTCTGGCTGTGATTTGCACAGAGTTGTGGGTGCCACATCTGGGGGAAAGTGGGACAGTTCTGGGGAGACTGTTGGAGCTCCGACTCAGATGGGGGTGAGAGGACGCAACTCTGAGCGAGTTGCAGAGAGGAGAACTGTTTCTCCTCTAGGGACAGCCCCAGAGAATACTGCTGCCTAGAGGACTGCTGGGCAAAATAGGAGATGGCTGCTCCAGCGGAGGAGTCAGTGGCATCTAACAGGGTCTGCAGGTAACCCCCCGGGATGACAGGGACACCTGAATCCACCTCTTCGGAGGAAGGCGCTTTGTCAGGAGAGCATGTGGATGAAATGAAGGGAAATTTTTCCTCTGATGCATTAGCTGTGGTGTTATTGTCAGAGAAAAGGGGTTTGACTGTAGTTGAACTAACGCCTGCCTGTTCCAACCCAGCAGTAAGGTCCTCAATCCGTGCCGCGGTGACACAGGCGTCTGTTTCATTCGTCACACTCCTCCGCTCTCCCCCCTCTGCCTCTTTCATTTTCTTGCTCCTCAACCTTGCTTCACTTTTAAATTTCCTTATCCTGACTGTTTTATTTCCTCCCAATCTCCTCCCCTCCCTCTCCTCCCTCTCCTGGGAGCGGCTCTTGTTGGTGATTGTGTGCGTAATGGAGTTTGCGTCTAATGTGACTGGGATGTCTGGGGCTGCTATTGTTTCCTGTGCGGTTGGGGTGGGCTCCTCTTTAGTGAAACCTGTGTGGCCCTGATCAGAGGCAACAGAACCCTGTGTTGTTGCTGACTGCTCCACAGTTTGAATCCTCTGAACCTTAAGCCTGTTTGCAATCTTGTATTTCCTTTTGGGATGACTAGAATTAAAAGGCCGGTGATGGCGTCCGTTTAGATGAAAACCACGTTGTTGCTTATCTCTGGCAACCAGCTTAAGCTGTTCCTGCCTCTCTCTTTGCTTCTCCTGCCAGAAATGCTTCAGAGGAGCCAGTGTCTCATATTTGCTCACTGTGTCGGCATTTAAGCTCACAGTCGCGTCCACGGGGTCCAGCTTGCCCAGTTTCACTGACATGAGCCTCTCTCCTTTGAATCTGTTGATGATGATGTACTTGATGACGACGGGCGGCTCTTTCCGACAGGATTTTCTGCGTTTTTTGGGACACCAGTCAACATCTTCTTCCTCTTTCTGACCAGCGGGGGCTTTCTCTTTTTTCTCCGCATTCTTTTCACTTTCAAGTGAGTCAACATCATACAAGTAGTCGTCACTGTATCGGACCTTTCTCTTGGAGCGAAGCCCGTAGTTGAGCGGGTTCAAAGGGCTGAGAAATCTCTTTGAGTGGCCCTTTTTGTGCTTGCCCTCCTGCAGTGTGTCTGAGGAGGAGCCGGTACAGGAGCTGTCATCGCTAAATTCTCCCGACTCCTCTGTAGAGTTAAAGTCTATTAGGTAGCTGACTTTGGAGGTGGACATAGGGGAGCCCTGAGAGCCGTCAAGTGGGCTCCTCCCACTGAACTCCCCACCTTTCCCTTCCTGTGCTGTGTCCTCGATGAGCTCCTCAGTTTTGGCCTGCACCTCCTCTGCAGTCCTCCTCAAGATTGGTGCTCCATCCTCTTTCTTGGCACAGTTGGCCAGGACGCTGGGGAAGAAGTTGAACTGCGTCTCCTCCTGGAGAACGTTTGTTTTTTCCCGCATGTTGTCCTGGAATGACTCGTAGCGAATCTTAAGCGAGCAGACATCGCTGCTCAGAGTTGAGTCGTCATCTTCATCATCAAATAGATTGTCAACGTCCTCCTCAGAGAAGAGGTTGACTGATAGTTCATTCTTTGAGCAAAGGTCCAGCAGTTCCATCTTACTCTCGCTGATGAAAGACTCAAAGTAGCCCCAGTCCTGACCAGCATTTGCCAGTAGAACCTCTTCTCCGCCGACTTTGTCCAACAGCAATCCCTCATACAAGTTTTTAGCTGTTGTCTCGTCTTCTGGATCAACGCAGTCCTCGGTCGGTTTGTTTCCATCTGCTCTCTTGGACTCATTCGTGGCTTTCGGAAGGGGAAAGCTAAGGAGCTGGTCAGAGAGGAGTTGCTCACCGTAGTGACTCACTGTCTCCCCTGCATGACTCAGGCACTGAATGCTGATGTTGTTGATGTCAGAAAAGTCCTCTCGGCTCACATCACCTATCCGAACGCTTAGCCCAGGGTCCATGTCGGGGTTGGTGTTGGGATCATGGGGCGGATTCGGGATGGAATTAGGGTCACTAGCATCACGAGTTTCAATAAAGCAGCCCAGGCAGGTTCGGGCAGGCTGAAGGAGACACTCCTCTGTCATTGCAGACATGGTGCCTGGTTCCATCATAGTAGCTGATAGAGGGAGACTAATAGCCAGCAGAGGGGATGTTTTCTGTCTGTCTCCAGTTTGACCCCAGGAGCTTACAGCTGGGCTGGGAAGGGGTGTGGGAGCACGCTGAAGGTTGGGGACTAGAGTTCGAGCATCACTGGATGGAGGGCAGGGGGCCACTGTTAGACTCAGCGCGGGGTCAGTGCTGAGGGCCAGGGGGAGGGATGGTGATGCAGGAGCAGTCCCCTGGTGTGTTGGGCAGGCCTGCTGTAAAGTCTCTGCAGCAGGAGGAGGCGAGGACGCTGCAGCATCGACAAGCCTGCACAGACTCAGATCGCCACTCTGCTCACATACCCCTGCAGGGAAAACAAAGAAAGGATTTCAGTTCTCTGAACTATACATCTGAACACTGTTTTAGCACTGTAGTCAAATTCTTCAAGGCTGCTCAAATGCAATTAGAGTCAATTAACCCCCCGGAGTTCTAAATGTCATTTTGTGGTGCCGTTCTTAAACACCACTAATTCGCTTTTTGTGCCGGATTCAATGAGAGGCATTAACAATGTCAAGTTACACAACTTTGCATGTATTAGTGTTTGAAATTCAAATGTAAAAGACTATAGGGAAGATTTCAAACTGAGTCACCTGCTTCGTGTTAACAGGAGCTGCTACACGTGTAGCTCATTTAATAACATAATCAGTGTCATCATGGGCTTAAATGTGGCTCTTTGCATTAATAAATCAAGCTGTCTGCAACTGTTCATTTGTGTCAAATCAAATGAACAACTAATCTGTTCTGATATATAATCAGGTGATAGTTAAACCACCGGATTTGTGAAATTTAGCTTAAATGGAGAATTTTTTAGTCATACATTTTGTTGTATTTCTATCTTAAAGTCATTAGTAATTAAAATGGGTCTAAAAAATTAATTTCAAAACATTTTTGGATATTGACAGTTCACATTTTGATCTTTCAACATCACAGTTTAAAATGTTTTTTTGTAATTAACCTCATTAGAGTTGGTATCCCTATGCGTGGATGTGTTTTCTGCACTATAATATTTCTGTTAACTTTAGACCTTTTATCTTCAATCTGAGATGAAATACAACTTTTTCAAATTAAATGAAAACTTTTTAATTAAAATATGTTGCTTCAATGTCATTTAATTAAAATACATTAATTTAAACTGATTTCTTAAAAATTCATTTAATACATTTTTGAACTACCAGTTTGTTTTGTACCTTTATATGGTCCTAATAGTTCCAAATAGCTAAAAGAACTTTACAATACTCAGGACTCAGATACTCAGCGCTGCAACGGCACATTTGGAAAACAAATTAGCTTTCATTTTTTCATGCCTCTTACCAACGTTCTAACATAGTGTAGCTATAAATATATTGTGGAAATGGAAAAAAATAAATAAAACAAACAAACAAATGAAGGTTTTCACTTCCACGATCAGAATTTTCAAGTTAATTAGAATTTTATATATATTTTTAAGTATCCTGTTGATTCCATAACATCATTCAAAACTAGACAAAATGGATTTATGCAGGACTGACATGTGCACAAATTGGCACACAAAGCCTAAATCTATACAACTTTACCATTTGCCAGAATTTTAGACAGTTCAGAAATAATTGACAGCCCAATTTTATGTTTTATGTCTTTCTATAAGAGCAATGTACACATAGAAAATACATTTCACCTCAGGGAATTTAGAGATTCAATCATTTTTTTAGTGTTGATGCAGCTTTGCATACATTTGGCAACACTGATCACAAACAGCTGTGAGTACATTAAAAACTGGGTTTTGGCATTTTACAAGTAATATATGTCAGAGTCTGAAGACAGCCATTGGATGTGTAACAATCAAAACTCAGGGAAGCAGGTTTGCAGCAGAAGGGAGATCGCTTTGTTTGCTCTGCATAATTAGAAGACAGCAGCGTTGGCAGGTATGTACACATGGGACATGACAGGCCCATATGTTGGAAACGGTATAACCAATACCGTCTGCACCTGCCTCCCTCCCCACAGTCCCAAGCTGCCTTCTCGCACATGCTCCTTTAAAACAAGGCCAGAATGAAATTTTGAAATTGAAAAACAGCACAGCAATTAATGCGCTAGCAGGGGTTAACTAGCAACAACCCCCATTTTAGAAAGGATGCACCTAATCACTATTGAGGTAGTGATAAATGCTCAAGGCGAAGACTGCTCAGCAAACAGCACGCGGCGTGGCTGTATTGGTGATGAGTAAATCTTTGAATATGGATAGGATATGAGAGTGATTTAATGAGGTAATGAAATTTCTGAGAGCTGGTCTCTCTGGGTCTGTGGCCTGCAGACACACTGGTACAACGAGAAACGCCTACTGAAAGCTTACGATGGTGCTACAGTCATCCTTAATGAAGAAAACCTCAGGAGAAATATGCATCGAGTCTCCTCCTCACCGAGTCAGAAAACTGTTATAGCAGCAACTTCTCAGAGGTGGCAGAAGCATCACAGCGAGGCGTTTGCCATCAGCTTCTTTCTGTCTGTTTGCCAGTACGACCTCGGAGCAAAAGCATGTGACTGACACATGTTCTCCCCGGAGAGAGGCAGGGCAGACATGATTTCCTGAATTTAATATTACATTTTAGCCAAACTGTGTGACCCGTATTGGACTGAGAGTTGAAAAGAAGGACTGCAATGATAAATTTGTCAATGTGTTTGGACATTTAAAAACAATCATCCCCAAGAGGATCAGCTTACACTGAATCTGAACCCACTGTATTATATATTACAATGTATCCTAGTGTATCACACATCAGATACATAAAACAGATAGATACTTTATTGATCCCCTTAGGGAAACCAATTTGTCACAGTAGCAGAAATAAATAAATGTCCAAAAAGGGCAGGGATCAAACGGACCTGTAGAAAACCAGAAAAAGAGAAGTGGCACTAGGAGGAAGATGTGCCGACAGCAAAAAGACAAGCCAGAATAATTTAAAACATCAGTACAACTAAACAGAGCTGGAAAACATAGTAAATATAGTACCAAACGTTGCACTGCCTTGTGTTGTAATGACTTGCAGCTTACATGCTACAATGCTGAGTCATGGGAGTTTAGATGTGCCTAACAGACTTGGAGATATCTTACAACCTCGTCCCAAGTGCTGTAGGAGTTTGCTTGTCTTGGGTCATTGGTGAGGGCTTTCAGGTCCCTGGAAGGCCTAAACAGGAGCTCTTGTGTAAGGTGACTGGGCTCAGCCTTGGAGATAAGCTAAGGAACTCCGTCATCCAGGGTGAGTCTGGAGTAGAGCTGCTGCTCTGCACTATAGGGAGTCAGCTGAGGGGTTTTGGGCATCTGATTAGGTTGCCTCCTTCTGGAGGTTTTCGAAGCTTGTCCCACTGGGAGGAGACCCTGGGGCAGACTCGTTGGATTATATATCCTCTCTGGCCAGGCAACAGCTTGGGATCTCCAGGAGGAGATGGGGAGCGCTGCTGGGAAGTGGGATGCCTGAGTTTCCTTCTGGACCTGCTATCTTTACCAGCCTAGATTATTGGAAGGAAATGAATGGATGTTTTGTTCATTATCTTGCATCCCATAGCAATGTACATTTTTGGACCTACGAGTAAATAAACATTCTCCGTCTCTGATTTTCTGTATACATATATATATATATTTTTTTTTCTCTCTCCTAATCTGTGCAATAAAGCAGAAGCAGGGAAGTTCAGTACAACTATGTAAGTCTATAGCTTTCCTTTATCCCCTTGTGCCTGCATGAAACCTGAGCTGCTACCTAATGTTGCCAAAAGATTGTTCAAAATTGCTCTGAAACATTAAACTCATATTGAGAAATGGCCCTCCTCTGGGTTTATAATGGATTAACAATCTACCCTTTCCAACGGGTGCATGTGTGTGTGTGTGTGTGTGTGTATGTGAGTGTGTGTGTATGTGAGTGTGTGTGTGTGAGAGAGAGAGAGAGAGAGAGAGAGAGAGAGAGAGAGAGAGAGAGAGAGAGAGAGAGTATTGGCTTGGGGGTATAGTGTTATCGAGAGGCCATCTGTCTCCAGCTGGACCATTAGCTCTTCAGCTGTTCAGAATGTGCCACAGATCAGTCAGTTAGACAGGTACACAAACACACACACACCCACTCTTTCTCTCTCCCTCTCCCTCACACACACAGATACTGACAAGGAAGGTCTTTCAGCGATGACAGTGGCTGACAAATCGAGTTTGACATTTGAGGTCAAAGAGGAACCTGCAGCTTTATATTTACTGTTATGGTACAGCAAAACATTACATCTAAGCTGGCACATGTACACAAGATAAACATCCAGCGTGCTCCGTGCTGCCAGGACTCACCATCCCGCTCACAAGGTGCACGCTAATAACAAAACGAGCCTCATAGACTCTGAGATTATCCTAAAACGGCCGCAGTTTTGTAGCGCTGCTATCAGGAGGAAAGCTCCTTGAATAGAAGCTGAGGCGGGATGTGGCAAGGTTCATGCAATCTGGCACGAACGTTCACCGCTGAGCATATGGAAGGACTGTGGCTGCTGGCAGGTGGTCATGATCTTCTGATCCCCTCTGCTGCCAAGCCCAGCCATGCTAGACAGCCCACCCAGTGCCAGACCAGACCAGTTATTGGGCTGAGCTGTTACAGTCACATCTCTCTCACTCATGGTTTCATGTACCTGAGGTGCGTCTGAGCAGCGGCGGTGCCAGAAAGCGAGCCCATACAGAGGAAGATTAGGAGAGGAGCTGCTTCTGTTTCCATTAGTTTGTCAGAAGCTGTGTGCACATACGTTTGAGTGTTTTAACTTCAATTGAAGTAAAAAGAAACACACAAATGTGTCTGCCATAGAAATCAGGGTAAATGAAGTAATCAGTCCAATGATGTTTGGATGAGTTTCCAATAATAAAAAACCGAGATGGTCATTCTGCAGTCCAGCCACACCAGGAGCTCACACATCCACTGATCGGTCTGCCACACACACCTTTTATTGCTCTCTATGACGTTTTATGAATGGCGGTGGAGAGAATCAATCCAGCCAGTACAGGATGTTCATACTAAGCGGTGAGTAACCGCAGCATGATTCATAGTCGTCCTCCTCGACGAGATGCCCCATTCCTGCTCAATGAAGTCGCTTTCACTGCTCCCTTTTCTTTTTCTTGGTGTCATTCTCTTGCTTTCTCTTTCTCTCTGCCTTCCTCTGGGTGTCTCTCAAGGAGCAGAGGATAATCTGTGTGATTCTCAGAGGGGTTGTGGGGAGGAAACAAGCCAGTCCCCACTGAGCCGGGCCGAAGATGAAACACTTAGAATAAAACTCACCTAGAATCTGTGGAGCTTGGTTAGTCTGGTTACGGGCCGCAGTTCTTTACTACCAGAAACAGGTTCAGCCAGCCTCGGTAAGTTTGCGTAAAGAAACACGAAGTGCTTCTCCTGTCCATCAGAATGGAAATGTGCTGTCTCTGTGGGGAATGTGTCAGCTCTGAGATACACCGGGATGTCCGTTGCTGACACAGAGACGGTTATGGCTGAAAAACTTAGTGAAGGGGTGAATGAGTACGTCTTCGAAAAGCACAATAATGACGTCCAAAGCAGACTGTGCTGCAGACATGCACTCATTCATCTGAAATCCGGAACTTACATCATGAATATATGAAATTAGGATTTTTAGGCCAGGTTCACACGGCAGGGTAATTATTCCAATTTTTGTTCCGATTCTCCCTTTTACCAATCTTAAAGAGACCATGTGTAGTTTTTACCGTCAGTCTCTGAAAACATCCATCAAAATGTTGTTGAAAAAGAATTAAATGATGCCCAGTTGCTGAAAAATATTGTCGGCTTCGTAACATCTAACCATCGGGTCTAAGTCTCTGGGCGACGCCATATTAGATGCCATGGTTTTTCCTTTGGGAGCCCGTGAGGACAAAATACATTTACTGATTTGTAAAGAATGGTGACAAAACTTTCACCATTAATAAACGTTGTTGTTTTACACGTTTACCTCTTCACTCGTTGCCAGTGATGAGAGGGAGTCTGGTGTGCTTGTTGTTTTGCTGGAGGTTGCGCTCCCAGGGATTTTTGACCCTATCCGTTGGTAAGGCCTTACTCAAACACAAAAATACTGCTTGCATGCAGCACGTAGGGTTCGAATAAAATATAGTTTCAACCTATGCTACATTAATTATATGGCCTCTCTTCGTACCAGGGATTCTTTTGAGCGGAGAGGACACAGCGCTGACCGGTGATGCACTCCAGGCTGCACCCTGCACACGGCCAAAGTAACATTCTCAAAGTGGCCCCACCCAAAAAATATAATTAACACCCAATCATTAATGTCTGCTCATCTCTGGTGCTATCTGTGTTTTATTTGTGCCTGACGCGCTCCGCTGCAACAGAATTCATCACCCGTGGTCCGGTGACTTCCCCCGACCGGCGCAGCCGTGTGCGCACTCCGCTGTTTTGCGGTGGGTAGATGCCTTTGATGTGCTTAGTTAAAAATAACTCATGAAGTGAAAAAGTAGGAAGCTAGGAAACAGTTTTTCTGTAGGATTGAGAGGAGATGCAGGAAAATTAGACAGTCAGGACAGGAAAATAGGCAAATAACGAACACAACAAAGAGCTTGAAATGAAAGGCAGATTTATCCCCCTACACGTTTTACCGTTACAAAGCAATCATTTATAAGCAAGTAATATTTATGTATTTGATACAACTCACCTTCGAAACTCAGTCCCTCACCCAGGGCCGCATCAAGGCATTTTGGGCACCAAGGCAAAATATCCCCCCTCTCATTGGGCTCCCCTGGAAGCCTCTTTTTAATTTGTACCCCGCTAGCACAGATCCTGTTTCAGCTGATTCTCTCATTTTAATAATAAGCGACATTAGGGCTCAGGAATAAAACACAAGTCTGAACCTTCCCCCTGTGCTGCACAGTCGTTAGACCCACCCACAGATCAGCTGATCAAGAGGCAGAGAAAAAGGATAAATCGTCAACCTTATTTTAATATCGTCAATGATAAAACACACAAAAGCATCATTTTATCTGCAGTCATTCGTTAGTTAGGCTTCATTTCTATGAGCAAAAGTAAAACATGAAAAATGATTCAATGAATCAGGAGAGCAGAAAGAAATGTTTTTTTCTTCTGTTTTTACATTTTCACTCCAGTTTGTCTAGAATTTTGTTTGTTTACCACATTTAGCTTGTACATTATGTAAAATATCTTACGACTGAAAGAACAAATCTGACCTGCTTAAAAACCGTTATCCTGGTGCAAACGCTTAGTGGTGAAACATCTCTGCTCCATCCAGCATGTTCAACTTGTCTGAACATTTTTAGTGTTTCAGGTTTCTCATAATGTTTATTGTGCTTTAAAAACTTTACAGTTAGCGTTCATTACACATAGAACAGATAATGTGTGCTGCACAGGCTAAATGGACATGAAATAATGTTACGTTTTCTTCTCATTTAGCTCCGTATCCTTAAAGGACATTAACCCTCTCAGGCTCAAAATAAGTTTTGATAAAAGGACGAAACACTAAGTCCTTCAGGGGTACTTCTGAGTTAAAAAATGCTCATGAAATATGGATGTGGAGTAACAAGGTAGGTTTTAACGTTGCAAATCTGCAATGCCTGCCTCGAGAGGGTTTAGACCAGTGAAGAACAGGAATAGATTATATTATCGCAGAGGTGTTCATACTGCTGTCTTTCTGTGTTTTAAAGTTTAAGCTGAAATTAAACCCAGAGTAACAAATTAGTGTAGATTTGTTGTTGAGACAGAATAAAATAAACCTTCATTATCTCACAAAAGAGATCTTGCGCAAATTTGATCGCATCAAATATGAAAACAAAATTAAAATTAAAAGTTTTAATTTAAATGAGATTTCTGCATGTTGCAGGACCAAAGGCGATCTGAAAAATCCTCATGCAACAACATACACGTGTTAGACTTACAGTGCGTTAGCAGATGGAATCATTAATCACAAACATAAAAATAAATCAAAATTAACTGTTTAGTTTTTCTCCACTCAGACCTCTTTTGTCCATGATAATGAAGGTGAGCATGTGTGAGAGCATTAATGGCTGCACCCTGTGACACATTTGCACCTTTTTATGAGAAAATTTAGAAGGTGTTGTAAACGCATGAGGAGAGAGGATTAACAATAGCTCAAAAAGCCTCATTTAATGCTGCTTTTCCACTTCTCATTCAGGAAAAAAGACAACTGTTACACTCTTCCCATTTCTTTTCAGAGAGCTTAAAACTAAAGGGTGAAAAACTCATTTAAGGAAACTAGTTCTCGGGTATGTGTTAATACTAATTGTCTCTTTAAAGATTTCTTTTTTTTTACAAGCAAAAAGGCCTTTTATTCTTGAGAGGAAAAAGACGAATCCGCCTTTTAGGTCTGCAACCAAGTCTATTTGAACATTCAAAGGAAATTCTTTTAAAAAATAAAACAAATGAACATGTTGGTAAAGTTCTATTAAATGCACATTAGGTTTACTGGGTGTAAATGTCAGATAAAAGTGTTTTACCTGCGTTTTCCACAACGTTTGCATTCTCTGCGTCTGAAGTCTTCACAATCAATGTGAGACTGCTGTCTGCTAACACATCCATCAATACGGCTCGATGCAGCACCGCCTACGCATCATTTTGGCCGTCCCACCTGTTGAAAGAGCAGCACAGAACGAGACTTGAGTACAAAAAGTGTCCTGCTTGATAGCAAAGACAATTCAAAGACAGAAAATGATTAAAAACATGATTGAGACCGTTAAAGACAACTCTTTGAGCATCGAGCAATCACTAGCTTCTCTGCTGTGTATGAAGAAAAGTCACGCCTAAAGATTCATTCAAACTTCGCCAGCAACCAAAGTACAAGAGTCACAACCATCAGCATATATATAAATGGACAATGGGTTTCCATAGGCTCCAACAACATGTTTTGGAGGAAAAATGGGAGGTGGCCACCACAGGTTCCGTCAAGCCCAGACAATTCCACAAAAGGGAAGAGAGGTGGAGCTGAGGGTGGGGCTGTAAGGCTGGGATCAAATGACGACACCCAATCGAACTAGCTACAAGCTAACGTGGAGGTGGGAGCTAAGCTAATGGAGGTAGCTACTAGGGATGAGCGAGTACACCACTATCTGTATCTGTATCTATTCAACCAACTAAATTATCTGTATCTGTATCTGTACTCGGAATGGGCGTGGCATAACCCAGAAGTGGGCGTGGTTTAACCGAGAGTGTGGTTTACAGCAATATATTATTTTAAGTCTGAAATTGATATGGATTGATCAGAAGTTGCTATGTGTATTGTTTATTTGAAAACTATTTACAGAGCAGCCTCAGAATTGAGATTTAATATTTTTGATCACAAGAGTAAAGGAACTATTTCAGAACAAGTGTTTCAATAAAATTAGAACATTAATATTTAAGTGGATGGATTAATACATTTGAACTCATGCAGTAGGAACTAAGAAATATGAAATGCTAGAACCAGACACAACTTTATGATTTTTTTTATTTTAATTTGATTAAACTGATTTTTTTTTAACGTTCTTGGCATTTTGCCCCACACAAAGTTAAACAAAACAATGTTGATTGAGGTGTGTGTGTCTGAGAGAGATAGAGAGGGTGAGGGAGAGAGAGGGAGTAAAAAATAAATAAAAAACCCGACCGGAGCGGAGGTAGTGAGTGACTGATGCAGCACGTCAGCTCTGTCTTGTCAAATGCACCATGTAAGTTACGAAAAAAGTAACTTTAAATATTCAACCAAAAAAGAAGCGAGCTGAAGAAAACCTAGGCAAAACTGAAGAAACGTGAGCAACAGTGAAGAAATCACAGCGAGATCCGTAATTGTCTGTATGTGTGCGTGGATGAGCCGGACGGACTGACTGCTCTCCCGGCCGGCTAGAGAGTTTTGTGTGTAGGGAGGGGCGGGTGCTCTATGTGACTGGCCAATCACAGAGCGTGAAGACAGTCAGTTACCCAATGAGGATTTTCCTTCAGCACGATTACAGATATTTACCAGTTTTACTCGTGTCATGCTCGTACTCGTCAAAAACGCTTTATCCGTACCGGATACTTGTCTGAAACGAGTATCCGGCTCATCCCTAGTAGCTACCTAGTTACAACCGGAGCAAACTCTGTGGAACACCAGCGACCTGAAGCTCACACGGAGTTTGTGTGGAGGTTTGCGGCGCTTTTTCATGAAAACTATCTTTCTGTGACTAAAAAAGTATTAAATCAGTAAGTTTGTAAGTTATTTCCTTAATGAAAAGATATTTTGCTTTGAGCAAGTTTTCAATATTTTTAACGTACCGTATTTTCCGGACTATAAGTCACTCCGGAGCATAAGTCGTACCAGCCATAAAATGTATAATGAAGAAGAAAAAAACATATATAAGTCGCACTGGACTATAAGTCGCATTTTGGGGGGAAATGTTATTATTTTTCTTACAAAATCTGAGACCAAACATTTTACATTGCAAGGCAAGTACCGGTAACAATAACAGAATAAAGAACCCTGCGCAGCAGCGCACCACGGTCTCCAGCAGAGGATGGCGGTGTTTGAAACCCTCCCTTTGGGACAGGGGAGCTCATTCCTGGGTCGGAGCCGGCCCGCAGCAGCGCACCACAGGCTGCAACAGGTGATGGCGGGGCAGAGGAGCTGAAACCTGGGCCAGATCCAGTGCGCAACAGCGCGCAACAGACTCCAGCAGGTGATGGCTGTGTGTTTTTTATTCGCAGCAGGGCAGGGGAGCTCATTCCTGGTCCGCAGACGGTCCGCAGCAGCACGGTATAGCCTACATAATTTGGTATATAAGTCGCTCCGGAGTATAAGTCGCAGGACCAGCCAGACTATGAAAAAGAGTGAGACTTATAGTCCGGAAAATACGGTAGTTATTAGTAATTCAGATAAATTAGCAGGCTAAATACATTTCATATATTTCTAAAACTTAATACTTGTTTGTATCTTGTAAAGCCAAGTAGCCTTTATTCTGGACTCAGTACAATTAACCAAAAGTAAAGAGACATTATCCAGATGAAGTAAGCACAAGATAACTTACTGGAAGAAACTGAATTATCATGAGAACCAGAACAAGAGAGCCTGATAACAGTCGTGAAAATAATAATTAAAAAGTATGTATGTATAGTAGAAATAAAAATATATTAATTAGTGTAACTCACTGTGATCCAAACAATAAATCAGCCATTGCTGATTAGCAATCATGAAATGAGGTCTGGGAGTTTTTAAGTTTCATTTTTTTTTTCTTATATTTTTTTCTTAGATCTGTTAAAAGGAAACCATGGCAGCCTGTGTGTCTTCAACATCAGCTACACAAAGCAGCAAGTGTAAGTACCAAATACCTGTCTTGACCACTTCATGTATGGTTTTGTACTTTAAACAGCAAGGCCAAACCTATTATTTTTTTCTCCAAAGCCATTTGGATCATTGGAGACAGCTACGTGAAGCGTGGTGCCCAAAGAGCTGCAGAGACCCTCGGAGACAACCTTGGCCTCCCTGACGTCCGTGTCTCCTGGTTTGGTTGGAGCGGACTGAGGGGGAAGGACCTTCTCCCCTTCTTTTTCCACTCCCTGCGAGGAAGAGCAGCTCCTGATGTCCTTCTCATCCACTGTGGCGTCAATGACATGGGGGTGGTCAGCAGTGTGAAGCTGGTCAACATGATGAAGGAAGACCTGCACCGGCTTCACCTTCTACACCCTCATTTGAAGATCATCATGTCATCCATCACCCAAAGGTGTAGATGGAGGTAGGGCTGGGCGATATGGCAAAAATAGAATATCACGATTTTTCCAATATTTTATCACGATTTCGATTTTATCACGATTTTTTATCCATGAATAGCATAACTTCAATTGTGTATTAAAGAAGAGAAACATTGAATAAACAAACATTTATTCATATTAGGGATAATCAACACAGTGCTAACACACTTATATTTTAAACTCACACCAGAGATGATAAAAGCCCTGAGAGAAACAATTACAAAAATCAGTTTTTCTCATTTTTCAAGTAACTTAACATAAATTAAAATCGTAAACATAAAGTGCAAACATGTCAATTGCAAACGTATTGTGCAAACATTAACTTGTTCAAAATACTATGCAGCTCCCAGTTGCTCATGTAGTGGATAGTTAAGCTCAAATACGGCTCTGATGTGCGGCTGGACCAGAGATCGCTTGTGGTAGCAAAAAACTGCGCATTCTGAATATTTTCTGCAACGCTCACTTTGCATTCAGCGTACATGCGTGGAATGGCGGTGTTCGAAAAATACTTGCGGCTGGGAAACTTGTAGCGCGGATCCAATGTTTTTATCATTTTCTTAAATCCCGCTCCTACTGTTCGCACGGGACACAAATCTTTAACCAAGTGGTACGTCACAGCATCTGTCACGCTGTTCCATCGTCTGCTGTCTCTGTCGTAAGGAGTGAGTTTTGTGAGTGTTTCTGTTAGCGTTTGCTGCCTGGAAGAAGCACTAGCCGCTGCAGCCGCAGGCTTTTTAGCTTTAGCTGCCAGCTGGCTCTCATTGTATTGTTTGGGATGCCTTCTTTTCAAGTGATTAAACAAGTTTGTGGTGTTGCCATCACTTGCCTTGACGCTCTCCTTGCAAACTTTGCAAATGACGTTTCGCTGCTCTTTGTCATCTGGTGAAAAACCAAACCAGTTCCATATAATGGATAGGGATGGGTACCTTTGACATTTGAATAGATTCGGTACTAATTCCCGGTACCTACGAATCGATAACGGTACTTAACGGTACCAATTTTCGATACTTTTGAGTGTTTCATATTTTAATTCTCTTTTATAATTAAATATATATTTTTCTCAATATATAACAATATTTGATAAATATCACGATAAATAACATTCAACTGTTTGTATTTTAACATTGTCCTTGTAGTTTTATAAGCTGATAATTAAATTGAAGCAAACATCTTTACTGTGAACTAAATTTACTGTGTATCTTCATTCCTTTGGCCGTCTTTGTTCATGTGATTTTTCCTACTGGGAAGTTAGAATTTCCGAGGAGAAAGCGAACGCACCATTAGCTAATAACAACGGTGGCAATGGAAGCTAACATATCAAGCTAACGTTATCTTTAACAGTTTATTTAACTGCTGGAGCAGATTAAAACGATGATGCCTCACACTTCGATCGTTGTCGCTGGTTTCATCTTCACCCAATCACCCGCCGCATTTAGTAAAGTGAAGCCAAACTCTAGAGCGCGTTCATGTTCATCTAGTCGGAAATTCGGAGTTCCGAGGAGAAAGCGAACGCACCATTAGCGAAACGGAAGCTAACATATCAAGGTAACGTTATCTTAAACATTTATTTATCTACCGGAGCAGATTAAGATGAGGATGTCTCACTTAGATCGTTGTCTGTCGCTGGTTTCATCACCCAGTTACCCATCACATTTAGTGAAGTGGACCCAAGCGTTAGCGTGCGTTCTTCTTTCTACCATGCTGCTCTGTTTACAACTCGCTCACAGGGACCGACGACATAACGCTCTTGCGTATGCACAGCTTTCTTGGCAAGTTCTCGTTATGAAGGACGGGTACCGAAACGAGGCACCGTTTGAAATGACGTGAATCGGTGCTCGGTCTTCGGAATGAAAACCTCGTTGTCGCTCCCAGCCGCGGCCGAAGCCATGATTGTTCACAGTTCACACACAGGTGAAAACAAGCGGGGCACTAATATATTACTATGACTCACTCTGATTGGTTAAGGGTCAAACAAAGGCATGTCATTCGACTGGGGTAAGTTCCCTTTTCATTCAGAGGCAGAAATTCAACAGCAGAGCTGTGAATCGTGATAAAAAGGTCTCTCAAAAATGACAGACCGTCAGATGTGTAGATCGTAAAACGGTCTAAAATCGTCATATTGCCCAGCCCTAGATGGAGGGCAGGTGTAAAACCTACTAAAATTGAGAAGGTGTAACGTGATGAAGGAGCCATTTCTACCCTAACAGCTGTTTCCTATTGACACAGTGTCAGTGTGCATGAAACAGCCTCAAGGTCATGCATTCGCTTCTAAACTATTTACATTCCAGCATGAAGACAGAAGAAAGAAGAATGAACTCTTTTCTTTTAATTAATCAAAGAACTCTATTTTAATAAAGCTAATCCATCAAAGTGTTAATCAATAATAAGATGCGACCGACCTGTGAAATAAAAATATTAATTATTTTATTATGATCTTAGAAAATAAGTCTGTAATCTTAAATGTTCCAACAGGACTCATTTCACATAGTGTTAAAAAGACATAACGCATTCTCTCACTGATCCAATCAGAATTTTACAGATCTGACAGAGGTGTGCTTCTGACGGTGTTTGGTAATTTTCATTCGACAATATACCATAACATCCGAGGTATAAAACTGAGCCACGTTAGCTCTAACGCCAGTTCAAGCGTTCCAGAGCAAGCGTCGGAGCGGCCAATCCGACCTTTAACTCTTCAACCGAAAGAACCTCGACAAGCTGAGAAAATCCAGTCGCTATAACAAGCAACAACAACAGCTCCTTTCAGAATAAATGCTCCACCGACCCAGGCTGGGTCTGAACAGACGCCAAGAAAAGAGTCGTGTGCCGGAGGTAACTCGCGACGGGTCTGGTCGGAACCGCGGCTCTTCTACCAGCTCGGTATCCAGAGAGGGTCCGCTTGGACCTCGACATTCCTGATCTCACCAGAGGACTTCCACCAGGCAAATAGACCGGCTTGATGGTGTCTCATGAGGTTCTGAAACTAACCCAAGCTTAATCCAAACCAACATCTTCAGTTCCCATCAGAACTAATTGCTTCTTCGGATTTGCTGGTTCTGATTTACATGACAGGTCATCCATTCACGGTCTCATCCATTTTTAGTCACACTATACAGGTGCTGGCCAGTAAATTAGAATATCATCAAAAGGTTGAAAATATTTCAGTAATTCCATTCAAAACGTGAAACTTGTACATTATATTCATGCAATGCACACAGACCAATGTATTTCCAATGTTCATTACATTTAAATTTGATATTCATAAGTGACAACTAATGAAAACTCCAAATTTGGTATCTCAAAAAATTAGAATATTCTGGAAAGGCTGAATATAGAAGACACCTGCTGCCACTCTAATCAGCTGATTTACTCAAAACACCTGCAAAGGCCTTTAAAAGGTCCCTCAGTCTTGTTTTGAAGGCACCACAATCATGGGGAAGACTTCTGACTTAACAGCTGTCCAAAAGACAATCATTGACACCTTGCACAAGGAGGGCAAGACACAAAAGGTGATTGCTAAAGAAGCTGGCTGTTCGCAGAGCTCTGTGTCCAAGCACATTAACAGACAGGCGAAGGGACGGAAAAAATGTGGTAGAAAAAAGTGTACAAGCTCTAGGGATAACCGCACCCTGCAGAGAATTGTGACGACAAACCCATTCAAAAATGTGGGGGAGATCCACAAAGAGTGGACTGCAGCTGGAGTCAGCGCTTCAAGAACCACCACGAGGAGACTCATGAAAGACATGGGATTCAGGTGTCGCATTCCGTGTGTCAAGCCACTCTTGAACAAGAAACAGCGCAAGAAGCGTCTCGCCTGGGCCAAGGACAAAAAGTACTGGACTGATGCTGAGTGGTCCAAAGTTATGTTTTCTGATGAAAGCAAGTTCTGCATTTCCTTTGGAAATCAAGGACCCAGAGTCTGGAGGAAGAGCGGAGAAGCACAGAATCCACGTTGCATGAGGTCCAGTGTAAAGTTTCCACCGTCAGTGATGGTGTGGGGTGCCATGTCATCTGCCGGTGTTGGCCCACTCTGTTTCCTGAGGTCCAGGGTCAATGCAGCCGTCTACCAGGAAGTTTTAGAGCACTTCATGCTTCCTGCTGCTGACCAACTTTATGGGGATGCAGACTTCACCTTTCAACAGGACTTGGCACCTGCACACAGTGCCAAAACCACCAGCACCTGGTTCAAGGACCATGGTATCCCTGTCCTTGATTGGCCAGCAAACTCGCCTGACCTTAACCCCATAGAAAATCTATGGGGTATTGTGAAGCGGAGGATGCAATACGCTAGACCCAACAATGCAGAGGAGCTGAAGACGACTATCAGAGCAACCTGGGCTCTCATAACACCTGAGCAGTGCCACAGACTGATCGAGTCCATGCCACGCCGCATTACTGCAGTTATTGAGGCAAAAGGAGCCCCGACTAAGTATTGAGTGCTATACATGCAAATTCTTTTCATGTTCATTCTTTTCAGTTGGCCAACATTAGAGAAACAAACATTTTTTCATTGGCCTTTAGAATATTCTAATTTTCTGAGATACCAGATTTGATGTTTTCATTGGTTGTCACCTATAAATATCAAATTTAAATGTAATGAACATTGGAAATACATTGGTCTGTGTGCATTGCATGAATATAATGTACAAGTTTCACGTTTTGAATGGAATTACTGAAATATTTTCAACCTTTTGATGATATTCTAATTTACTGGCCAGCACCTGTACACTTAGTTCTTGAATAAGCCTAGTTTAATTGTTAGTAATAAAATTCTTAACTTTTAAACTTGACTCTCTCTATTCTGTTGTCTCTGAGTGGATACATAACGGTTACATAATCTCTGCATTAAAAAGATCCGATCTTCTGGTTTAAATAACCCCCGATCCGTGAGGTGGATTTCATATTTCCTATGGAATCCCATGCCTTACGGCTCATGAATAAAATGTAAGAACCTCTCATTTTTCACTTACAGAAGGCCAGGAGGTTTGTCAACAGTGTCATGGCTACACTTATTTCTAGCTTAAATGGTGCAGTTGTTGTGCATCCTCACATCAGACATGACAGTCCGGGGATATTTTTGTCAGACAAAGTTCATTTCACAAATAGGGGAAATTATTTTTTTAACTAATATTGCAGATTGTCTTAATGGCCAGCTCTAAAAGCAGTGAAAGACTTCCAGGTGGGAGTCCCGCTGCTTTTGAATTTTGCCTTTAGGACAGGTTTATTTTCAGACAAACAGGATAAACATATCCCTGTGCTGTTGATATAATTTATCTATAGCCATAACACTGTTGACAACTCTGTTCTTCCTTCACAACCCAATGTTCCACTAACTCTGCAGCTGTCTGGGCTCCTTTTATTATTTTACCTTTTTTTAATGTACCAACACTTTGTGTCTTGTTATTTTATAAAATGTGATGTAAAAAATTAAATGTTTTTACTCAATTACTGGAATTTCTTTGGTTAAGACAAAAAAGGAAGGACGAATAATTTATGCCAAGTTGTTTCTACAACAGGCCCATTTTAAGTTTAACTGTTTCTTAGCAGCCAATAGAAATGTGTTCTTTACTAACTTCACTTGGTTTAAAAATCTTACTAAAATAACCCTTAGAGGCTGCAGTATTGCAAAACCTAATCATACTTGTTATGCAAATATTACCTTTGCAGATATTTGCAGATATTTTTTAAAGATAGATATTTGTGTGCAAAAAACCCATACACTTAAATAATTTGTCATTCTTTATTGAAAAACAACAAAAACAGGTATACAGAAAGTGTGGGAAAATGATAATGTCAAAGTATGGCTCTTTAAATGTAATACTATTTATTTTTAAAAACAAAAACTCAAAATGTCCTGTACAGCAACATGACAGAAGAATGGTGGTCTGTCTGTCAGAATGTGCTGAACAGATTTGCTCTATCAAGAGGAGCCTTTTGTGTACGAGGTTCCCCTTGAATAAAAATTATATTATTGTAATATTGGTTTGTCAGAGAGGCTGACCGCTGGGGAGAACCGGGTGGAAGAATGGAACACAGAAGTCTCCCTCCGAGAGCTCCACCAACATGTCATATTTCAACCCATTTTATGTTAAATGCACTGGGTTTTACACCCATCGACATATACCCTATTAATTATTTTACCGTATTACATCTAAATCTCATGGTTAAACAGTACATGTTAAAATGGTAGTTAGCTCGCTACTTTGATAAGCTCAGCTAGTGCAAAAGCAGCAGTGACCTAAAATAAATAAATGTTATTTTACTTATCGAAAAAAATGAAGTGGAGACTCCTTGGACGCTCAATTAGTGCAATTAATACCACAGCAAGTCATTTTGTCCAACAATTGCACAAATAATATCCAAAAAAGAACGCACAAACGCTACAACTACTGGTCTAAGTTCAGAGACTAAAAATTGCGGAACAGTTTTCAGGCAAGGCCGAGGCTCAGACTGAGGCTACTGAGGCCTTTCCACTGAGCTAGCTATGTGGTCACGTGGGTTTGATGCTCATTAATTATACAGAATTTTAGGCATTTAATACACTTAAACAGAAGAATGACAAAAAAAATTCACCCCCCTCAGAGTTGTCATGAGTGTAAACTATATCTATTAAACCTAAAACATGTTTTGGAACCAGGCTGTAAACATGTTTATTTCCGCTGTGAAATTTGTATTTTTAACATGGGAGTCAATGAGGACTTGCTCGCTCCTGACACCAGCCCCCAGCGGATGAGCGTGGAACTGCAATTTATTTCACTTCCACATTGGCTTCAATTTCAGACCCGCATTGTGGGGGCTTGGTCACAACTGAAATCACTATGGCAACTGTTAGCTATGATATCCTATTTTAAGCATCATTTAACATTTATAGCTGCATTGTTAACTTATGTGCGCCTCACGTAGGCATTTCTGAGCATATTTGTTTATTGTAATTAGCTGACTTCCTCCCTCTGTGGCAGAAGAGCTGCTCGGCTCAAAGAGCAGCCAGATTAAAGCAACGTGACTGAGGAACTGACGGCAAACTCTAACAATACTTTTTATTGTAGCGACTTGTGATAGTGAAGGTGTAGGTGGGAGATGAGTGTGTGCATGCACAGTGTGTGTGTGTGTGTGTGTGTGTGTGTGTGTGTGTGTGTGTAATACAAATTATATTATAAAGGTAGAGAAGGTGAAGTTAGTCAGCCTTCCGAACACTGGGTGAAAGTGTTCCGATTGTGAGGGAAAGTTTACAGACTCAGAGACTGTAACTGGTGAACTTTTGATGTCTCCTGCCTTTTAATATTGTTTCCTTTTCCTTTTTTCCATCCCTTGCAGCCCCTTTCTGGAGTATCGGTGCTGCAGGATGACAAATGAGGCGAGGGAGGGGATCTAATAACATGATCTCCTTGTGGTGTGAAAAGGGTGGCTGGGAGATTAAGATGGACGGTAGCCAATAAGACAAGAGTAGTGTGCAGCTGACTGCAACCTACTGCCGTCTCTTTCATCCTTTTTCTTCTAAATGTCATTAGCTGTGTACTGACCCGAGTGGGAGAGCTACCTGAAGGGAGCCCCTGCTTCAGCTTACACTAGCAAACACACACCACTGGCTCAGGGGGTAATTACTTCATGAGCCATCACATCCACTCACGTGTACAGCAGGTACACGGACAATAGAGCTTTTAGAACAGTGCACAATGTTTAAAAAGAGCAATAATAATTAGATGTTTGATTTTAAATGTGAAAAGGGGCAAAGATTGTTTATTGGAGAAAGGAGAATCTGTAAAATAAGTAAAACAGAATATTAGTCCATGAGGTCCTGTTGATTCCTCATAGTTAGAATCTTAAGGGGAGTCGTATAGGAAGCTGTAATATAAATTAATACACACATAATCTTTATATTGATTTCATTAAGAGCAATAAAAATATTACTGCATTTTAAAGTAATTTATGTTAATAATGATAAAAATGAAAATCAGATTTTTTTAAAATTTCAAGTATTCTTTAAATGTATTACTTTTTTGAAAATTTCAATGCATCCTTCAGTTGGACTAAAATGAGAGTTATCGAATTACTGAGCAGAACCTCAAAAGGACAAATGCACTTAAAACATCCTTCACCAGGTCTTTGTGC